GATATTGGATTTTAAAATCGCGTGAATATGAATCACGATTTTGGATTATAAAATCACGTGAATATGAATCGCGCTGCTGGATTTTAAAAACACAAATCACGATATTGGATTTTAAAATCGCGTGAATATGAATCACTATTTTGGATTCTAAAATCGCGTGAATATGAATCGTGCGGTTGGATTTTAAAATCGAGTGAATATGAATCACGTTTTTGAATTTTAAAATCACGTGAATAAGAATCGCGCTGTTGGATTTTAAAAAAGCGAAAATACAAATAGCGATATTGAATTTTTAAATCGCGCAAATAAGAATCATGATGCATAATTTTTAGATCACGTGAATACGAATCACAATTTTTAAATAGCGTACAAATACGAAAAACGAGATCTGATATTACAACTGCGTGATAACGAATCGCAATATTGGATTTAAAAATGCGCGAATTTGAACCGCTACGTTGGATTTTAAACTCGCGAGAATACAGATCGCGATATTGAATTTTTAAATTGAGTGAATAGGAATTGCTAGTACGATTTTTAAATAGCGTAAAAAAAATCGCAACACATAAGTTTTAAATCAGTTAAATACGAAAATCGATGATTGATATGAAAATCGTCTGATTAAAAATCGCGATTTTAGCATATTCCAGCGCAGTTCCTAATATTTAAAATTCCGAAAATCAGCCAAACAAAAAAAAAATCAAATATTGACGGCCGAAACGAAACGCTTAGACTCATTTCCACTCTATAGCGGAAGTCGCGGTAATCTGACTATCTTTCCGGCGGCTTGGGTTTCTCTAATTGGACTCCCTAAAAATTTTAGTTTTTGGAACATGGTCGGAAATTTTAAAAATTGGAAGAAAAAAGCGGATTTCTGTTCTTTCGCGGAAGTCTTTCCTCCCTGAATTATTATGCGCACTGTACAGTTTTCTAAGAAAAAACGCAAGATAATAACCAATAGTATAAGGGAAGAATACCCTCTTTTTTTTACAAGATCACGTGCATACGATACTGATTGCTACTCACTGCTGTACATAATCCAATTGTAGACACGAAACGCATATTCTAAATGCATTCCAATAGCTGATTCTCCTAACGGAATTTCTGACATTTAAATGACGTATTTAGGAGGCGTGAACAGCAAAATGCTCTCCAATGACTCACGGCGATGCGAATTAATATTTGAAACTGAATTCAGGTTTGTCAAATTTTTGATGTTATGTCTCAGAATGGCGCAGCTTTGGCAGAAACTGAGCTGAATGACGCAAAATGGCGCAGTAATGCCGTTTTGTCTCAGTTTGTCTCAAATCGCGCAGCACCCCTACTTACGGCTAGCTCAACAAAAAAAGGATTTCAATACGGAACCTGTCAATCAATGGGAATATTTTGTACATCAATTCAGTAGTCAGTGTGAAGCAGAAATCAAATAGGGTAACTTTACTCAGCACTATATCATCAAAAACATCCTGACTAATGACAATGATTCAAGTGCATTCTCAGAGACAGTTTTGGGAATTTAGGAACATAAGCTTTCGAAAATATAGCAGCAAGCTGAATTCTGAAATTTTTCAGAATGATACTTGATACTTTCTTCCATTAAATTCTTCCTATATGCATTATAGATTTATAATAGAGCAGTCTTCTTTGTTTAAAATAATTGTTTTGTTTTGAACATTACCAACAGTTCCATAGAAGCCCCGAGGTCCGCAAGAACCCACACCGTATTTTCTTAAACACTGTAAGGCGGCTTCCTAAAAAATGAATAAGAGATATTACAATAAATACAAAGTATTACAGGAATGTATTTGCAATAAATCAAAAATTATTCCATTTGTACGTTAACACATCAATAGAACTGCACTAATGAACTATTAGCTCACGTCTGGGTACAAAGTTAACTTAGTGACGTAACTACCACATTAATTATTAAACATCAGTACACCAGAATATAAGATATGTTAACTCTATTTTATCTTAGGGTACCTTTCGATAGATGAAGGTTGACATAATCGAAATAACCTTTTCCCACAACTTGAACATTACTAGTTATTTGTTACTGTATCATCATCTTCCTTGCGCTGTTACTTCTCAGTGTCATTTACACATAACAGGATGCTTCACACACTGCTAATAGCAACCACACACACAACTGTGATCATAATACAGCTCTCACGACAAACGCTCAAATCTTGGTGAACTTAATATATCTCTCCCAGGCTTTCGCAAAGCGCATTGAATCAACTAGGGTATCTGATCATTAAATTCTATCCCAGATAAAATTCTGGTGGAAGAGTATTATGGCATAACTACCACTACAATTATTAAACATCAGTTCACTAGTATATAAGATATGTTAACTGAATTCTATCTCGGGGTACCTTTTGATAGATGAAGGTTGACATAATCGAAATAACCTTTCCCCACAACTTGAACACTACTAGTGCAATGGTTGTACTCGCTGATTCTCTGCGCTACATATCTCAAGTGGGTCTGAATTTTTTTCAGCTCTGAAAATTTCCAAGACATTTCCTTAGAATTAATTCTGAATAATAAAATTATGATTATAGACATTGAAATTCAATCAGACACACACAGTATTTTGCCAATGTATACAACTCCCTTTATAATTGCTAATTGTAGGAGATGACCTCTAAAAGTATTAAGAAACATAATAAATCAATATAGACAACCTGTTTATCATTTTAATAAATATATCAGGTGTATTTTAGATCTTAAAATATATTGCACTTATAAGTGAATGATTTAATCAAAACACTTCATGCATTTTTCTCAGCAGGGTAAATTAAAAATAATAAAAAGTAAAACTTTTCGAAGCAAAAGATAAAACTTTTCCAGTTTATCTCAGTGCATAAGAAATTTTTGTTTTATTTTTCTGCAATTTCTGCATTTTTCTCAGCAGGGTAAATTAAAAATAATAAAAAGTAAAACTTTTCGAAGCAAAAGATAAAACTTTTCCAGTTTATCTCAGTGCATAAGAAACTTTTGTTTTATTTTTCTGCAATTTCGGTCAACTCAGCTTTAACAAGCATGCCGATTTAACTAATAAATTAACTCCATCATCTTTTCCTTTTTGTTATTAGTGAGTCTGACTACACTGCAGTTATAAACGAATAAAACTGTAACTATGTGTACCAAACTGTAACAACCTTGTACATTTCCATTGCTTGATTTAAAAAAATTATTATTCCAAACAGAAACTTTATATAGATTTAATTACAGGATTGTTAAACACGGCAGTCTGTTCATCTAGAGATTTTTAGTATTTGTTTATCTATCTAAAAAGTATTGTTCATTTAATTTCATTTGTACCCATACATTCTTAATTTTTTTTCCAGAAATTTCTAGATTTTAAAGAAATAGAACTATAGATTTTAGACAAAAATAATTTCCATGAAATCATATATATTTTTTCACAAAATTCCAATAACAGAATCCTGGAATGATCCCTGTAATTAAATCAGTTTGACTAAAGTAACAAAAAATAACTCCAGGCTTAGTTCAAACTGAAGTGCCTCTCATAAAAAAATTAAACTCCATTTCTCTACATCACTTGCAAAATATGTTTAAATTAAAACTTTTTGTATGAGAACAAATTTGTATTAAAAAAAAAAACAATAGAAAAATACCTCTAGTTTAGGGTGCTCTACCAAACCTAAATAGTTATGAGTTGCAGCATTCAAACATTTCTTACCGTCCACGATTACCATTTTCCCAACTTTGCTAAAAGAATTAAGTTAAGAAAATTAACAAATAAAATAAATTATTTATCTGACAATAACAACAGAAAATAACTACAGAATAAATAAAAATTACATTAAATATTCTAAAACAGACTAAAAAAAACGAAAATGATTTCTACCTTGTCTGAGTACTTAATTTGAACCCTGGCACGCAGGGAAAAACTTATTAGCTTACAGCAGAGGTGGCATGTTTTCGGTATTGGACACTTTTCATGGCTTTAAGATCACATCATTTGTTTACTTAAAAATCTCAAAAACATATTTGTAATTATATAAATACTTTAAAATTATACAGCTTGTAGTGTTTTTGTTAACTAGAAGTATCAACTTTTATTATTATTTTCTTTTTACAATTACGCAATACAGTCAGCACTGTCTTTTCATCTGCTTCCAAAAAAATTTATGCCACCAAAATTATTTCATTACAGAAAATTCCCATTATTTAAAAAATAAACAATGGAGGCTGAATAACTTAAAAATTTTAAATCCCTACATTTAATAAATATAAATGTTATATCACTAAACCGTCAGATACTAGGGCTGCTTTGGCCAATTTTTTTTCTTCCTTAAATTTAGAATAGTAAAACAGGAATGTTAGTAATAAGCCTTTCTGATAAACATTATTTTTAAATTTACATTTTTAGTGAACAATAAATAAACTTGTTTAAAGTTTCAATGGCCATTAAAAAAAGAGAGCCTTTTATAAGGTTGAGTCAAAGTAACTCCTTCTTGGGCTACCATTCCAAATTATGCCTTTTACTGACATAACATGGTACTTCTAATAAAATTGTGTTTATAAACAGAGAGAGAGAGAGAGAGAGAGAAAGAGAAAAGAAAACATGAATGCAGAAATTCTTTAAAACTAAAGAAGAAAAAATCTACTTCAGGGAAAATATACAACGATAAAATGCATAATTTAGGTCATTTTCAGCCTAGTAATTACCAAAATCAATAAAAATGTCCTTTTTATGACATACTGTGATTTCTCTTGTCAAGCTTACCAAGACAAATTTAGTAGTCACGTATTACAATATAAATGACAAGAAACAAGCTAATAGAAAAGGATAATACAAAAGGTTAGATTTAAAAAAATGAAGCTTGAAAATGAAAGTAATCTTACCCACTTATTGTTCTTGTTTTAAAATTTAAATTTTCATCGGATGGAGGCACTAAAGGTTCTGGAGTCCATTCAGCAATCAATTGCTCTTTTTCCTTTAACAAATAATATTACACATTAAAAAGTGAAATCTTGAAACTGAATATATTGAGATATAATAATAAAAATATAGCTTATCCAAATTAATTGACCTTAAAGTTAATTTTCAATTGTTGTGAAAAGTTTACAGAATATTCCATTTTATTGAATGAACTTACGCGTTCAGTCAATTCCATTCTCTGAGGTTTATAGCTTTTGTGAACAAGTAACCATATTACCCAGACAACTAATACTGCTTCTAGAGCAAGATGGTACGTAGGTGCCTGAAAAAAATAAGTGGTAAAATTTGCATATTATTGTATAAATATATATACAGTCAACCCTCCTATAACACGGTGAGTGCGTACCGCGTTCTATGGAAACCTCGCTATAAGAAACTCGGATTTAACCGTACAAACCAGGCTAATTCGTAGCGCGTTCTATGGAAACCGTCTACCGCGTTGTATGGAAACCGCGCTATAAGAAACGCAGAATTAGTACAAATCACATCATTTGTACCGCGTTATATGGAGACCAATAAGGAAAAGATAAATTATAAATTATTTTTGTTGAATTGAAGAGTTTATATAAAGAAATGATACCAAAATTAAACTAAAAAACTGTTTTCCAACAAAAACAAGAAAGACTTTTGTAAAATTTAATCTTTCAACACTCATCCTCGCTGTCAGATAATATGAGTCGCCTAACTTGTCTTCTTTTAATACGCAAAATGTCTTCCTCACTTGGCTCATCTTCACATTGATTTTCGATTGTAGCTTTTTTTTCTAACTCCACTAAAAACTCTCTATAGGGAGCTAAGCAATTTCTTAACTCTCTTTTAAACTTTGCGCTACGCACCGTTGAATGATCAGTTTCAATGAAATGGAGTTCTAATTCATTAGCCAAATTTAGCCCTTTTTTCACATCTTATAAATCGACATTTGGCACCCATTCGTTTTTCTTATTTTCGTTTACCAATGGATTTGAGGTGGGTGTATCAATTAAATCCATCAGTTCATCCTCATCTAAAGTTTCTTCCCCGAGTATGAGTTCTCTTACATCCTGATGGTTTGTTGTAAATTCTTCATCTCCTAAACGAGAAGCAATGTTTACTATTTCTGTAACTGGGAGTGAAATTGCAGAATCATCTTGTATTGCTTGAACCATTTCAGGTAAAAAGGGTTTCCAACAAGCATTAAGCGTTGATGGCTTAATTTCCGCGCAAGTCGACATTTATAAATCGTTCATAAATTCATAAATCGACATTTGGCACCCATTCGTTTTTCTTATTTTCGTTCACCAATGGATTTGAGGTGGGTGTATCAATTAAATCCATCAGTTCATCCTTATCTAAAGTTTATTCCCCGAGTATGAGTTCTCTTACATCCTGATGGTTTGTTGTAAATTCTTCATCGCCTAAACGAGAAGCAATGTTTACTATTTCTGTAACTGAGAGTGAAATTGCAGAATCATCTTGTATTGCTTGAACCATTTCAGGTAAAAAGGGTTTCCAACAAGCATTAAGCGTTGATGGTTTAATTTCCGCGCAAGCCGATGACACGGTTCTAATACAATCTAAAATAGAAAATTCCATCCGAACTTGAGTAAGGATTTTATTTTCACTACTTTCTAATCTGTCGAAAATGGTTTGGAAAACTTGGCGTGTGTAATACATTTTTAAAGTTTGAATGACTCCTAGGTCCAAAGGTTGTATTAATGACGTGCAGTTAGGAGGAAGGAAGAAAATTTTTACATTTGGATGATCCAGTTGTATGTTGTGGCAACCAGCGTTATCAAGAACCAATAAAACTTTGAAATACAATTTTTTCCATCATATGGGTTTCCACTGCCGGGATAAACCAATCCTTAAATAAATCTTGGGTCATCCAAGCCTTCTTATTAGATCGCCAGAATACAGGCAATTCGGTCTTATTAATGTTTTTCATAACACGTGGAGTTGAAGAATGATTTATTATCATAGGTTTTATCATCAGGCTCCCTGATAGATTGCTGCACATATGAAGGGTGACACGCTCTTTTGAAGGTTTAAACCCCTGAGCACGCCTTTGATTTTTCAAAATGAAGGTTCTAGATGGTAGTTTTTTCCAATATAATGCCGTCTCATCGGCGTTAAAAATCTGATGAGGTGAGTAGCCTCCTTCATTGATAATTCTAGCTAATTCCAGCTTATAATTCTCGGCAGCCTCAGCATCTGCTGAGGCCTGTTCTCCTTGAAACATAATATTGTGTAATGAGTACCTTTTTTTTAGTTTTTCAAACCACCCTTTACTCGCGACAAACGAATGATTTTCTAGCTCTGCAGAAGAATGCCCAATATTCCTTAAATTTTCATAGATTTTAAGTGCTTTCTGCTTGATAAGATTTCCACTGATAGGAATCTTTTTGGCTATACAGTCTTCCAACCAGATCATTAACGCCCGTTCCATTTTAACCAGATTAGAATTTCGGGTGCGAGTAACACGTTTCGCACCTAACGGACAGCCATCTGCCACAGTTTTCCTTATATTGTCTGCATTTTTCTTTACGGTTCCAATTGTAGATTCATTCAACTTGGTTGATTTTGCAACCAAAGATAGTTTTTCCCCGCCTTCTAAACGATTTAGAATTTTGATTTTATCTTCAAGAGATATAAACTTTCTTTTTAACTCTTTCCTTGTTTCTTTCCTGTTTGACATGATGCAAATCTAGGGTTAATAATTACTTTATTTTTATTATATCAGAACAAAAGAAGAATATTACTTACAGTATTGTGTAATGTTGTCCAATTATAAACCACAAATTAAACAGCAAAAAGCTGAACGAACGGACGGTGCAGAAATTTTTTTAGAAAGACTTGGTCACCAACAAAACGTGTGCACTGTGAAAGAGCTCTGAAAAGACTAAAACCGATGTCGCTATGAGATAAGCCGGAGATAATCTTTATGTAAACATATCTAGTTACTATGCCGCGATCCCACTGCCTGGACCTACATGAAACTGGCGCTATCTGATCCCTCATAATTCAAATAGGCCCTAACGAACTAAACAGCTTAGGCTACGCGAAAGGAACTTATGGGATGCTGTTGACGGAAACCACGTTCTGAGAGTACCGCGTTATAGGAAGGTTGACTGTATACATATATGATAAGGTGAGGTTAGGGTCAAACAGTGAAATATTAAAATCTTGTGTGAGTTCTTTATAGAAGGTACCTACTGACTTACAAAAATTCTTACTCAGGGTTCTGTCATGACATTTTGTGAAAGGTCCTGTTTTAGTAAAATTGTGAAAAAATTACTCGTAATTTGTGAATATAAAATAAGCGTTAAGTCACATTCTTTTAACCAGGGTCCTGATTTTGTGAATTTGTGCAAATAGGGTCCTGTTATTGCAAAAAACCTTTTCAAGGAGTTTTTAAATTTTAAATAGATACAAAATTATGCTCAACACTGTAAAATTATAATAAAAAAATTATAAATTTTCAAATATAAACAGCAATTGCTGCTACTAAATTAGAGATGCAACACAAAAATATTTGGTATTTAGCCTATACTGCTGAAGGCAGAATATTCATTTCGGATGAATAATGGAAACAAAATCACTCACATTTTTAATAATTTCAATTGACATATTTTAAATAATACAACTTAGTTATGTATCACTTCTAATGTGTTACACAATAGGTAAACTTAAGCAATTCTTAAATTTATAATATTTTTATTTTTTAAAAATTGACATAAGTTAATTTTTATTTACATAATATTTTATCAATTAATTTCATGAATAAATATATATTGCTCAATTACTTATTTACAAAAAAAAAAATTATCATTTAATATCAATAAGAATGCACACATGATATTTGTTATATTTTCTTAGAATACTACACTTGGAATTTATAATTTTTTTTTTTTTTACTTCGAAGAGGTAAAGGTACATAATTAAATGAGATCAAACTTAGCATTAGAATTAAAGCAGAAAAACAAAATTAACAAAATATTAGAGCAATATACGTCAATTGCCAGTAGATTTGAAAATATCTATAATAGCTGAACACTAGGACTGGGCGATGTTAAGATTTCAGCATCGTGATGCATCGCCACTCAAACATCGTGATGTTTCGATACATCGCGATGTCACATTACTATTTCACATTTGGTTTTGCCAAATTTTGCATTCTTGCACACCTTTACTTTTTTTTTATTTGATGCTACTGTAAAGTAAGACTAAATCTAAAATTTTAAATATATATATTAGATTTTTAGAATTTAAACTTTGTGTGTTTGTGGAAAAAGGAGAGTAAGATTTCAAGGGGGATATTCAGAAAAAATTTATAAAAGTGAAAATCTGCCAAAATGCATCAAATTTACATTATACGAACTATATTCATTTTATAGGTATTTAATTTCAATAAAGTTATATAATCAATAAGAGAAAAAAGTAAAGATAGGAGTAAATTAAATATATGACTTTATATCCGGGTATATCAATGTTTAGTAAATTGATTATTTTCTTCTTTTGTATTAAAATAATTCGATAGACTGTCTTTTTCAATTTAAATAAAACACATCTTTTCAAACTTTTCTGAAAACAATCGGAAGTTTTTAAAGTAAAGAAAGAGGGTATTGAATAAATAGTTAATTAGTGAAACGAATAATTCATTAAAATTTTACATGCAGCTTAAAAAAAATGAGAAATTATCTTTAAGGATGAATTAAAAAAAAAGAATAGTATTTCAACCTTAGCCAACAAAAATTATCGTTAATTTTCAACATTCTTAAAGATGGTTAGGTATCTTAGACAAAAACACATTAAAAAATTATTACATTAAGAAATAATTTTTCTAGAAAATAAAATTAGAAGAAATTGGTGCATTTTTTCAGCTCTCATATTGTAATAAATTTATCTTAACATGGATATTTTAGCAATTAATATTTGATATTTGTGGATAGAGTGCAGTGCATGAAAAAAAAATTACTGTTGACTTCATAATTGGATTTCAAAAAGTCTGATTTTTTTTAAATTTATTTTTCAGAAACTATTCAACTAATTTCTTTTAACTTTTTTATTTTAAAATAAAAAGTTATATTTTTAAAAAAAATTTGTATACCTTACAATTCAAACTTTTTTCGACTATTACTAATAAAAAAATTAATTAAAATCATTTTTACATAAAATTATCTTTGGATAAACGAATTATGTCAGCCAACTGTAAAAATAAAATAGATACAATTATAAAAATAAAATTTTAAATGTGCATTGAGCCAACAATTTAAAAATCTTTATAAACAGAAAAATAAAAAACGTAATAGAAAAAGAATAAAAAAAAAATATATATGGATTGAGAAAGCTAGAAAACTTAGAACAGCCGATGCGCATAACCTCTTGACCTTTCATTCTCCAGAATTTCTTGAAGAATATCTTTCAATAATTTATTGAAGGTAGTAACCTTCAATAATTGAGGAAATTGAGAAAAACCAGTATAAAAACAAAATTTCCTGAAAAAGGATTTTATGGAAATTATTATGGCTTCAATATTGTAAAAATCAATTATTTGAAATTTTCTTTTCAAAATTATTGATGACCTAATGTATTATTATGTTGATAAACTATATTTCGTGGAAATAAAATTTAACTGCACACTCTTATTAAAATTGTTATAAATAAGAAAGATCAAAAAGCAGTCATGTCGAAAAAGAAAATGACAAAGAAATAAAAACGAAACGACTGTCTTAAAAAGAAAATTTGCGTTTGAGAAGTTGTCGGTTCAAAACCTCGTTTGCAAAGATTTTTTGCAAAAATATTAGATTTTTTTTTTAAATATTTTCTAACAATAATAATAATCATTTTTTAATAATTGAAAACGTGGTCATTATGCAAAATTGCAGCTTTATATAAAATTATTAATGAAAACATTTTATCCATATTGAGGGAATGCAATTCTTCAGATTTAACAAAGAAAAATAAATAGGTAAAAAAGTAAATAAATAAAAAGTCTTATCGAAACAGAAGATCGTTTCTTCAACAAGACAAAAATGATCTCAAAGTATTGTCAAATAACAAAACATAAATAATCCTCCGAGAATCACTTTCTTTTCTTGGATTTACATGAAATGAAGAAAGCACCTTTTCATCTTTCATTGGCGATGAGTTATAGTCACATCGGAAATCATCGTGTGAGCACATCGTTACTTGACAATTCGCGAAGGAAGAAACACAAGGGGAAAGATCGTCTAGTCACTTCGGAAATCATCGTGTGAGCACATTGTTACTTGATGCTTCGCGAAGGAAGAAACACAAGGGGAAAGATCGTCTAGTCACTTCGGAAATCATCGTGTGAGCACATCGTTACTTGATGCTTCGCGAAGGAAGAAACATAGGGGAAAATATCGTCACGACAATCGATGTCGCCGCATGATCGGGGGAAAATGCTCATCGCGCGTGCTTACGAACATCAATGTTGGAGAGGGAGAATCGTGCTTCGCGGCATCGGGAAACATCGATGTCAACCTGGCATCGGAAAACATCGTGCTCGCATCGGAATTCACGATGCTTCGAAAAGGAGGCCAGTCTAAGCATCGGATCGGCGATGATTGCACAACATCGACGTTTTCCGATTCATCGATGTATCGCCCAGTCCTACTGAACACTCAGCATCAGTCAATTTTTCCAGCCCATTTACAATAATGCGTAAATGTCTATCGAGTGTCTCTTGTTTCATTCTCGTTCGCAACTCAGTGCAAACAAGATTCATTTTCAAAAATAACCTTTCAACAGTAGCTGTTGATGATGGTATAATAACCGACAATGTTAATAATTTTAATAAATTAGGAATTAGAATTTTAATAACTTAGTTCATTTACATCCATCTTTCTTTTTTTTCCGCAGGGAAGGGTTTATTCAATTAACAAAATAATGAGGATAATTTGTGAAGGGTCCGATTAAAAGATAAATTATTTTGTGAAGGATCCGTTTTTAAGTTAAAATATTTTGTGAAGGGTCCGTTAATGGACCCAAATTTCTTCTAAACAGACCCCTGTTACTTTTAAACATTTTTTTTGAGAAAAATGCATAATTTAGTGTTCAAAATCATAGTTCAAGGCTATTAAAATATGGCTTTCAGACCACAAAAAAAGAATCCACCTGGCCATCCTTCAGTTGGTAAACTAGCTGGTTCTCCTCTTCCTTACCCTATTGTTCAGATTCCAGGAACACATTTCACTCAGAGGTGTACAAGCATAGAGAGTTCTTGGCTCAAATCACAACTAATTAAAGAAGTTAGTACAATACTTACGACGTGACATTAACAGCTAACAAAAGATTATTCTTTTAGTTCGATGTTTGCTTTTCAACATGGCAAAAAGAACAAAATTGTCACTTTAATTGAAATGGAGGTTTAAAAAAAAAACCTGATGAAAACTGTTCAAAGAAGGTTTTGACAAAGTCATTGAATGGCTCAGAATCAACGTTAAGAGGGACTCTGTTTAAGGATTTAAATTTTTTTTTTTCTCCAAGCAATTGTAATAGCAAACTGAGAATAAGGTGTTCTATTGAAAAAGGAGCAATGAAAAGAATGAGGAATTTTAAAAAGTTAGGTTGACATAGTTTGAAGAAGCTTATGCCTCAAAACTTCGTGTTAACGTTGACATGAGATTGTAAGACGATCAGCTGTCAAAGAGTTGTGACACGCAAAACTTTTTGCCATCAGATGGAAGGGACAGAGAATTAAAAACATACGTCATTTGGAAACTTATGTCTTTTCTGTGGAAAGTACAAATGTCAATGAAGAAGCTGTGCAACAATGGAAAGAAACGCAGACAATTAGAAAGAAAAAAAAAAGGACACAAACTGAAAAATAAGTCAAAATGAGACTCTTTTTGTTTTTCTAAATAATGCACAACAAAACTTTAAACATTTAATGGAAAATTATTATCATGCCACAGTGGGAAAAAAGTTTTTTTTTAAAAAAAAAGATTAACTTTCTTGCAATTCTGATGATCCTGAAAAAACTTACACCATTAGTTATTGGAAGATTAAAGAAACCATAATGTCTTAAAAACATGAAGCTTTCATGCAAATATACTTGCAACAAAACAGTCTAGATGACATTGAACATTTTTATTTCCTTTATAAATTTGATAGGAAAACGGATAAACAAAAAGTTCTTTTATTAGTGGATAAATGCCCTGCTCAATCACAAGATCTACAAAATTTTAATAACACCAGTTATTTTTCCCTGGGAAATACAGAAGAGAAATTCATGGATCTGAGCATCATTTGTTGTGTAAAACAAAACTACTTCTAAACATAAATAAAAATTTTCTCCCAAATTTTTTGTTTTTATTCTTGCTTTGTATAAATAGGTTTTTTTTTTAAAAAACAATATGCCGAATAATATTGTAACCTTTTAATTGATGAATGTTTTAATAATATTAATGGATGTTTTCAATAAATGAGTGAAAAATAATTACCACTTTAATATGCTAACATACAAATAATAATAAAACACACTAAGAACAGATTAGATTGAATATGCTTTTATGTTACCTTACAGATTTAATTAGCATGGAAACTAATAGTGAACTGCCAAATTTTATTTTAGAAATATATTTTAAAGAGTTATTTCCCTCTTTGCTTGCCAGTAATACAAAATTAATATCCTTCAGTATTATTTAATCAATATCATTATTTAGCTGCAGACAATTTTAATATTAGTAATCAATGAAGTTTTATTAAATATATATTTCGTTTTTTTCATCCAATGAATCAATACAAATAATATGTTTAACGCAATATATAATATAAATTCTATTATTAATAATTATTCAAAATAATGGAAGGATAAAAAGGTTCAAAAATGACATGCATGGATTGCACATAAAAAGCAAGTTTTAATACCAAAAGTTTAGTAATAAACATATTTTTCCAAAGACCACCTATATATTGACAATCATCATTCGGATATTAAGTCTATATGCGCCCTGCATATACATCTGTAAAAATCTATAATACTTACTTTTATTAGATCTTTCGTTATATAATAATAAATATAATTTAAATGAACAAAGCTACATAATTAAAATTTTTTTTAAATGAGTAGACTACATTTGAGGGCGCCCCTAGATTCTTACCAAGTTGTGATCGCGGTTCATTGCCAAGCAGGCCGATGTTGAAACCCAATCGTGATTCTGATAAGTTTAGATTTAAGCCTTATTTTTAAATGTTCAAGAGTATATGTAATTTCAGAGGTCCGTTAGTTCTACGTTGGATACCGGCTGGCACTTTTGCTTATGGTCAATAAGATCGAAGGTATGTGGGCACTCATAAACAGAGTACACGGATACTATTCATGATAAATTAAGACAGTATCTAATTGCTAATAGAGAATTCTGTGCACCTAAATCTGAGGATATTCAAGCTTAATGAAGAAGTGAGTTTTTTTCCTTTTATTTCTGTGCTTGCTCCATTAATTTTTGTTTCGATTCAAAATAATATTCATTTTATTGTGTTATTTAATTTTGTTTATATTGGGTACACTACAATTTTATAAATTTTCGGCCGCCATTCCTGTTACCACAGTGTTCCAAGCAAACAGGAATGGCGCCAAACATAAGTCGCAAATTTCGCCAAGGGACACCCTCAAGTATATTTTTATCAGGAGCAAAAATATGAGCGAGTAAGAACGATTTGATCTTCGAAAATGAAACAGAGTACTCATGACAAGCAAATTAATTTTCTGTACTATTTATTGTAAGCACGTCGTGTTTAAATAATTAGCATTTTAAGTAAGGATTATCATAAACAAGAACATCGGAAAATCTCTGACTATAAAAGACTTAAATTATTTATATACCTGCAAGAATGCAACACACATTTCATACAATTCCCATGTTGTTTCGGAATGCATTTCATACGAATTAGTTTCCATTTATTCCATATAATTAAGTAGTTCCAGTAAAAGCAAGAAAAAATTACGTCGAATTGAGAATGCTGAAGGATAGAGAAGAAAGCACACCCAGATCATAGCAATACATTGATTGTTTGATCAAGTTTCATAACAAATTGATTTATTGATGATTTTGTTCCCATTGAATGGTTTACCGTGTAAAACTCAGCACAGATGGCGCTAGAGCAAAATTTCCAAGTTTTTAGAGAGCCACTAAAAATTTTTACTTCCAATTTTAAAATTTCAATTCTAGGGCAGGGGTTGAAAATTTAACTAAGCATATAACTTGTTGTTTAAGTTTCAATCACGATTATAGATTTTTATTTATTAGTTGACTTTACATTTTATCGTATTCCAACAAGAGAGCGCTTGCTCACACGAATATGTGGACCCGGAGATCGTCAGAACCCCAACTTCTTCACCTAACTGTAGCATTCTGGAATACTATTTCATGCACCGAATATGAGGCCCTCAACTCGCGGAATTTCTTTCAGAGCTGCCCACTTGTGGCTGTGTGATGCACATGTATGTATTCTGAACATCCAACTTAATTGCTCTTGAGTTCTGTGAGCTCTTCGGTTTTCAAATCCAGCAATTGTATTTGAAGCATCAATTTCAAATGGCTCAATGTTGATCTCATTTGTATTTGCGTTGAGAGGATTTACTATGAATGCAAGAGTATTTTTGTTTTGTTTTGAATTGCTTGAATTCCTCAGTGAATCCATCCTTCAAGTTTTTTAATGCTGAAGTAATTCTCCTTATGAAAAAATCGAGGTATAAATGAGGTATAAACGAGGTATATTTTAAAGGTATAAAGGAGGTTGTTATTTAAATACGTCCTTAAGGTTGAAAAGAGTGCAATTGAATACCTCAAAATCAACCTCAAATATACCTTAAATATACCTCCAGAGGTATATATGTTTCAACCTGTGGTGTTTAATTTTACATCTGTGGAGAGGTAGATATTTACTACTTTAAAGTGTTTTATTTTCAATTTTAGGTTATTACTTATCAGCCTGAAGTATATTTTTTTACACTTGTGGAAGTATTTTTTCAACAACCTAAGGTGTGTCATTTTACACTTCAGGTTATTATAAATCAACCTCAGGTGTATTTTGTTCTACCTCAGGCAATTCTTTTTCAACCTCAGGTATATAATTTTATGCTTGTAGAGGTATACATTTATTAACCAGTGGTGTGTCGTTTTACACTTCTGGTTGTTATAAATCTACCTCAGGTGTATTTTGTTCTACCTCAGGAAATTATTTTTCAACCTCAGGTATATAATTTTATGCTTGTAGAGGTATATATTTATGAACCTGTGGTGCGTCGTTTTACACTTCTCCTGGTTGTTATAAATCAACCTCAGGGGTATTTTGTTCTATTTCAGGTGATTATTTTTCAATCTCAGGTGTATAATTTTATACTTGTAGAGGTATATATTTATCAACCAA